AGGCTGACTCAGGAAATTCAAAATCTGAGTCTTTTGGGGTGTAGGTAATTGATGTTTTGGGAAAAATAATTTGATTAGAACCTCTCATCCACTTTTATTGCAATTGAAAAGAACAAAACAGATGCTGTCACTGTAGCGTTTAACTGACTAAGCTTTTGAGAATTCATTCATTGTCACAAGGTAGCACATCTTAAAGGAAAAGCAAAAACGTTGCTACAAACACTTAGCATGAAATAAGTTTCAGGATAAATATTCATTCGGTTCCAGATCTTAAAAAATTTTTAATTAATTAGTAGATATATTTTTGGCAAGCAAAGTGAGATTTTAAAAACCAGTGTGAGCCGAATCTCAGGTGAATTGTGCCCTATTGCCTGGGTCTAATCCCTACTGACCTTTTGTTCTCGTAATTGGAATCACTGCCTACATCACTATTAGTTAAGGAGACTTTAGAGTTGTTTTAAAATTGCTGTTAAATTGGGTGCAATCAGATTCTCCTGTGAGCTCACAAAGTCTTCAGACCCAGGGTGAAGGCTGTTTCTCATTTAAACATTGTCAGGCTAAGAAGACCGATTCGATTGCTCCTGAATTTTGCATATGTCAGCATAGTAGAAGCTTAGTCATGCAAATCCCTATTACTTAGCATGTCTGTAGGCCAGAAATGCAGAGCTGTGTTGCCATATTTTATCTGTGTTTGTAGTTGAAAGCATGCCTTCTATTGTGTTTTTAAAGAACAGATGTCGGGACAATGTTTAAAGCACATAACCCGAGTATTGAAAAATCTTTTTTCTACTTTAAAAGAAAAAAAAAAGAATCCACAATAATGAATTCAGTCTGCCAGTTTGTATTTTCAAGGAATATTTTAACTGTTGAGGGACTTTCCATGTCCCGTCCTTTAAACGTGGCCTTCAGATGCCAAGGAAGGCCAAAGCCATCTTGAGTCAGTCATTTCTTTTACTGACTCATCAGGACAGCAACATATAAGTCAGTCTTTGAGGGGCTGAGAGAGTCTTTGGAACTTCAGGGGTCTGTGTTCCATTCTCATTTATTGAGCAGAACAATGCAATAGAAGCACTTACTTTGAAGACCTAGGTGAGGATGAACCAGAGGCAAGCGAGTGCTCAGGAGAAATCGGGTGGAGGGTCAGTGAAAGCTGGAAGACAGCGGAAGGCTGAGGATGCAACATCTCTCTGGGGGACACGGTGGGTGGATTGGCAGGAACTGTAGGAGTTGTGGGTGGAACAGATGGTCCAGGGTCAGGAAGCAAGTTCTATTCTGTGTAGGGTGGTGATAAAGGGTATTCAAACAGGGAAATGAAGCAGGAGGCCAAGCATACTCGATAGGAGGGTGTGTAAAGGTCAGGAGCCTGTTTGCCTACACCTGGCAGCAATTTGCAGCGATTGTCTGAATGCTACGCACGGAAAGATTGGAAGAGTTCCCAGCAAGGACAGGTGATGTTCCTTACCTTATCTGAGATAGAGTTTCTGGCCGGGAAGAAGGTTACAGGCAGGGCAAATGCAGTCAAAATCATGGAGCTGCAGTAGACTTTTGAGATGGACTAGAAGAGTTCTCTCTTTTTGGAGCTGAGGGACCTTTAAATGAGGTAAAATGTAGGTTATTTAAGGTCCCAAAGCCTCAGCTTGTCTGTAAATTAAGAGATTCTGTTGCAGGAAGGGGACCCCTTCCAGGGCCCGAAACTGGGCTCTTGTCTAACACTCAGAAGTGAATTGTCCGAGGAGACACATGTGCTGACAAAGCAAGAGATTTTGTTGGGAAGGGCACCCGGGTGGAGAGCAGGAGGGTCAGGGAACCCAGGAGGACTGCTCTGCCGCGTGGCTTGGGTTTTATGGTGATGGAATTAGTTTCCGGGTGGTCTTTGGCCAATCTAATTCATAGTGTTTCCCGGTGGCGCACGCATCGCTCAGCCAAGATGGATGCTAGCGAGAGGGATTCTGGGAAGTGGACGGACACGCGGTGTCTCCTTTTGACCTTTCCTGAACTCTTCTGGTTGGCGGCGGCTTATTAGTTCCGTATTCCTTCCCAGGATCTCCTGTCATAAACTAACTCATGCAAATGGTTACTAAAGGGCCTGGCCAGGGTGGGCGGTTTCAGTCAGTGTGCTTCCCCTAACAGTTCCATTAGAAGGACCCGGCCAGGGGCTCCCCTGGTGGCTCAGTGGTAAAGAATCTGCCTGCCAATGCAGGAGACACGGCTTCCATCCCTGATGCAGGAACATCCCAGATGCCACGGAGCAACTAAGCCCATGAGCCACAGCTACTGAGCGTGTGCTCTAGAGCCTGGGAGCTGCAGTGAGAAGCCCTCGCACCGCACTTAGAGAAAAGCCCGTGAAACAACGAAGACCCAGCACAGACAAAATTAAAAAAAAAAGAAACTGCCACAGTGCTGACATGGCGGCAAGACCCGAGTCAAACACAGATCTTATGACTGAGTAGGACCCCATGGGGCCTTCCCAGAACAGGTCTTCCCCCCTATCTTCTGCTTCAGCTCCTCTCTGAAGTACCCAGATAATAGTATTTGATGCACATTTCCTGGACTGTTTGGCAGAAGTGAAAAAACCTCCCCCTCTCCAACAAATGGAAGATGTTAACTACTTGAGGACCAAGAGCACACAGCCCCTGGCCTCCTAGAGCCTAAGGACTGATAATGTTATCCCCTGTGACACCATTCCACTACCTTTCCATCAGGCTGTCAGAGAACTGTGCACAACTGGATTACAGACCGTGTGACACCTCCCCCACCAAAACCTGGCTTTTCAAAGTGCTTTGCTAAAACCCTTCGGGGAGCTCTTGGGGCTTTGAAGGGCAGGAGCAACAGTCTCCTTGCATGGCCCTGCAGTAAATCTTTCTCTGCTCCAAAATCTGGTGTTCCAGTTTGTTTGGCCTCCCTGTGTGTCCGGCGTACGGATTGATGTTCATCTCTCCACTGCACTGTATCCACATCTAACCTCTCTTAGACTTGCTTTGCAAATTAGCGCTTTTCTGTATCAGGCGTCTGGAAGACAGACAAGATGTGGTCTAAAAGCCATGATGCTATGAAGAAGCAACAAGCTAACAATTTTAGAGAAAGACTCTCCAATTTATCTGGATGGTGAGTGGCTGTCAGGTTTGGGAGAGGAGTTATGCGGAGGAGCAAACACAAGCCTGGTGCTGGAACCAGACGGTTGTGCCCTTCATTCTTTGAGTAGCAGCACCTGTAGGATGCACACGAGAGTATGGCCATGGGATCCCTTGATCCAGAAAAGCAAAGCAGCAAGGGCTTCATGAAGAACCTTTTTTGTACCTGTTGACAGCGGAGTCAAGTGAGTGATCTCAGGGTGTCTAAATGAATCTCTGACTGTGTAGAGACTTGTTTAAAGACCAAGCTTCACAGGGGCAAGAGGGGGAGCAAGGCGTGTGAATGAATGGGCAGCAGGCACTGTGCCCGCTGGACCACAGAGCCATCTTTTTTCTTGTGCGATTTCTTCAGTCATTCAGCACAAAGGTTACAACGTCTGCAGCATCTTCCGCGCCTGGAGGGACAGGGGGCATTCAAGGTAGGTCCCTGCCCTTAAGAAACTTATGCTCTATAGGGAATCCCAAGATGTAGATTTGAAGCACTCGGGAAATAATTACAAGGTAGCTCACAGTTCCTCCTCCTCTGAGGTAAAAGATCAAAAGGACTGTGTTACAATGGGTCATCATGTTGGTGCCTGTCTGAGTTGGCCAAGGACTCTGGAGGCATTTGGACTGGAGGGGAAGGGGGGCCAGGACTCGGTCCTGGTGGCTCTTGGCTTTCCCACTCTCACCCCAGGCTCTGTCTCCTCATCTGGAGCCTGGGAACTAGAGCCCTGGCTCTGACTCACCAGGATGTCATAAAGACTGGCGAGACAAGACGCGGTCCGTCCAGCACCTTCCACCCTTTGCCAGAAAGGCACCTCAAGAGATGAATACAGGGCGGTATTGCTGATGATAGCAGTTTCCCTTTGCATTTCCATATGCTGGACAGCCTAATCTACCCTGTCTAAACATGGAAATCCCATAACTCTGCCCAACTCATCACTCCATTAATCCACTTAACCCCTGGCCAATACATGATCTAAATATTTAATCTTGTCTGCTTGTTATCTGTGTTTATTCCATGTGAATTCATGGTCTGAATCTCCGCTCTGTTTATCCATTTCGGTGGAATCTAACTTCAACTAGGAGAACCCCAAGGAGAGGAGGGAGAGTGTCTTGTCCATTTCTTTTTTTTTTCCTGGCATCCAGTATTGAACTTGGCACATAGTAGGAGCTTACCAGTTGTTTGATGTTGAAGGGCAAGAAATTCTCAGAGTAATTGTTCTTTTTTTGGCATCTGCAAAGAGATGCTTTATTGCTGCCATGAAAGACTCTTATTGCTTCAATTGCCTGCAACAGTTTCTGGCACATAGTGAGAATTAAATGAGAAGTTGGATGAATGATCTTAGATCCTGCCATGACAGGTGTGTGCGTGATAAGTCGCTTCATTCATGTATGACTCTTTGCAACCCCATGGACCATAGCCCCCAGGCTCTTCTGTTCGTGGGATTTTCCACACAAGAATACTGGAGTGGGTTGCCATGCCCGTCTCCAGGGAATCTTCTCGACCGAGGGATCAAACCCGAATCTCCTGCATTGCAGGCAGATTTTTTACCTGCTGAGCCATCAGGGATATGAGTCGAGTATAAGAAAAGAGGATTGCTCTAGAAGGCAGGAGACCTGGAAGTTGTTTTTGGTTTTTGTAATAAGCTGGTCTATGAGGTTGGTCAAGTCCTTTAAAGGCCCCAGGCCTCAGTATTCTCATCTGTCACACGGACAGATCAGACTAGGCGACCTGTAAACTGCCTTGACTGTCATGCTCTGTCTGGGTCTGGGAGTCGCTCTTGGGTGAGGCATGGGGGTGGGGGGTCACCACCTGTTGGAATGAGCATTTCTTCCCACCATTGGCACTCAGGGACCAGGGGCATAGGCAGGGAAACGGGGTACCTGCTCCCCTCTGAGCCTCCTCCTGGCTCTCTTGGTCTGTCCCTTGCAGCCTGGGCTCGGGACGGGATGCCAGACATCTGCTCATTCCATCTGCATCAGCTGATGTTTATACAGCGCCCCTGGATGCCTGGGCCTGGAGTCACCTGGGGGAGGGCCTGTGCGGGGGGTTGGGGGTGTCTTGATTATGCCAAAGCCTCCATATGGACTGTGTTGTTTCCCCGCAAAACCCAAGCACGTGGGAGGTAGAAGGAGGGTGAAGGAGATCCCAATTTATTGCTCCATCATGTTTATTTTCATTCTTGGCTGGTTTAGGGCATTTTTCTTAATGTATTAGGGTCACAGTTTTATCGACTTCAAGGCTGCTTGAAAGCTGTGTGTATGTGGAGAGAGAGAGAGAGAAGGAGGGAGGGAGACAGACAGAGTCTGTGTTAAGACTTTCTTTTTTCCTCATCAGTTTTTTTCCAGTAACATTTTGATTTTTAGCCTAAATAATTAGCCATCCTAGCTAAATGTGATTTCCCTCTCACAGCTCACTACACCTGTCACCATTCTGGTATGATTAGTTTAATTTGCCTAGATAAAAAATTAGGATGTCATTTAACTACTTTTAAAGAGGGTCCCTCTAAATTATAATGGAAAAGAATAAAAAGAATATAGATATACACTTATGTATAAGTATACTGAATCACTTTTGAAACTAACACAATAAGTCAGCTATGAAAGTGAAAGTGTCAGTCGCTCAGTAGTGTCCAACTCTTTGAGACCCCATAGACTGGCCCACCAGGGGCCAGGGATTTTGCAAGAATCCTGGAGTAGGTTGCCATTTCCTTCTCCAGGGGATGTTCTGACTCAGGGATAAAACCCGGATCTCCTGCATTGCAGGCAGATTCTTTACATCTGAGCCCTGAGGGAAGCCCCAAATCAACTATACTTTAATTAAAAAGAAAAGGTCTCCCTCACCTTCTACTTCTCTCATGAATCTACATTGTTGGATTCCTCTGTCTTTTATAATAAAAGTACCAAATCCCATTTGTTAAGCACTGTGCCAGGTCCCACATTGAGTAGTTAACATAATGATGTAGGAAATCTCTCCATTTTACAGATGAGATTAATGTTCAGAAGTTAATTGGGATTGAAACACAGATTTGTTGGACTTGTTCTTTTTCTGCAAATTGACTCCTAAGAAAATAGGATTTTAAGCATGTTTTGAAGAGCCACCAGCAGGGTGAAAATGTAGATGAGTTGAGAGGGGCAAAGTGGGCGGGTGGATTTAGGGTTCTTAGGTGTGAAGGTGGCAAAAAGGAAGAGAAGACTACATTTAGAGGGGTTTTAATGCTCCCTTGTTTTCTCCTGGGTTATATCCTGTGGTTGCAGTGTCAACTTTATGTCTGGGAAAATGACGGTTACCACAGTTGCTGCCCTGATACACATTTCAACACCGCAAATCTTCCCCTCTGGAGGTGCAACTTCTGAGGGTGTTTTAGTTCACTCATCCACAGTGTTAGGCCCTGGGCTAGTGTCAGTGGTTGCAAAGGTAAGACCCACTCTCCCCTCCAGGCCCTCACAGTTGAGCTCCTCAAGGTTCCTCAATGCCCAGCTGGGCTGAGAACACGGTGCCCGGTCATGGGTATGTGGTCCTACCTCAATCTTGGGCCACACAAGAGCTGTAACCTAGTTCTCCTTCTAAGCTCAGGGTCCTGCAACGACCCAGTGCTGCTAAGTGAGTGATTGCAAGTTTAGCCAGATTTGAGCACTGACAGTGTCAACAGCAGGGCAATTCAATGGCTATTCAGTAGTATAGTAACTTGTTCTACAGCCCCTGACAATGTTTTCTGTATTAAGTCATGCTTTGGGGGCAGAGAACAGTGTCAAGGGATGGCCAGGTACTTTAAAAAAAAAAAAATTTTGATGGCTGTGGAAAAGATGTCAAAAAAATTTCCTAAATCTTGAACTGTTTTCCTGATTTTTTTTTTTTTTTTGGCTACTGACATTTTCCCTCTGACCTCTTGGAAATAGCAGGAAGGGAAATGTTAGAATAGCAATTTGAGGGTGATAGAGGTGTGACTACACGTACAGCTGGGGAACACAATGGGCACTGAAATTAGAAATAATTCTGAGGGGATTTCCCTGGCAGTCCTGTGGCTCCCAATGCAGGGGCCTGGGTTCGACCCTGGTCAGGGAACTAGATCCCACATGCTGCCACCAAGACCCAGTGCAGCCAAAGAAAATAAAAAAAGAAAAAAGAAAAATAATTCTGAAACATTGGCCAAAATTTTTCCTAACTTGTAAGAGTCTGTTTTGTTTTTTTTTAACAGTTGAATTTCTTCAAGAAAGGTGAGACTGACTGAAGTTTTTTTAAAAAGATTTTTTGTTGTAGACAATTTTTAAAGTCTTTATTGAAATTGTTACAATATTGCTTCTGTTTTCTATAATTTGATTTTTTGGCCATGAGTCATGTGGGATCATAGCTCCCTGAGCAGGGATCTAACCCACACCTTCTGCGTTGGAAGGCAAAGTCATAACCCCTGGACCTCCAGGGAAATCCCTGATTGAACTTTTGGTTAAAGAGTAAGGAAAATTGTTGCATCATTCCTATATATAAGCATGTGGAGAATGGTTCCCTATGATTGTATCAAAAACTGCTTCTAAGACATTGGGTGGGAAATTTATCTGAACTCTATTTAGATGTTTGTTTTGGTTTTCTATGTGGATGGTTCTGGGGACAAGTTGGCCAAAGGAAACTGACCATCTTTATTCCTATACAGAGGATGCTAAGAGACCATGCAGAAGTTCCTCTAAAGCAGGAATGGGGCACATAGCCTAATGAGAGCAGAGACTGGGGGTTCACTTAAGACACATAGATTAAGTAGCTGCTCTGTGCCAGACACAATAGGCTCTTGAAAAACTGTTAAATAATTGTTTGGTCAAATGACACATTTCCCACCTCAGTGCTTCCAATCTGTTCATCAATGGGAGGTGATTTTATTTATCCTAAAAAATTAGTTGTCAGTTCAGTTCAGTTGCTCAGTCATGTCTGACTCTTTGTGACCCCATGGTTTGCAGCACGCCAGGCTTCCCTGTCCATCACCAACTCCGTGGGTATGCCCAAAGCTTTAGCTGCAAGGATGCCTAGCTCAGCATTGTTTACAGAAATGAAAATTGGAAGCTACTTAAATGCCCAGCAATATGGGGTTGGTTCAATAATGCATGATAAATCCACATTGTGGGGTGCTATAGGATCATTTAAAGTGGTGCTGAAGAAGCTTGTGTGACATGGAATAACATTGACTGTAAGAAGAGAACGATTGTAAAAATGATATGCATATGATTGTTTGTCATGAAGAAATTTACTCATAGAAGAAAAGACCATAAATTATGTGGCAAAATGTTAATGGTTGTCTTTGGTTAGTGAGATTATGAGTGAAATTCTCTTATTTTTGAACGTTTATAATGATCACACTTCCTTTGCAGAAAAACAAACTACTTGAAAAAATTGCATAGAAATGCATTCAGTGAGAATCTCCTTGTAGATGAAAGCTCAGAGTTGTGGTTCTGTTAATATATTAACCTCTCAGTTTAGTTCAGTTCAGTTGCTCAGTCATGTCTGCCTCCACGACCTCATGGACTGCAGCACGCCAGGCTTCCTTGTCCATCACCAATTCCTGGAGCTTGCTCAAACTCATGTCCATTGAGTTGGTTCAATTTGATTATAACTCCAATGGTGATAACATATGTGGAGGGTAGATATTTGACCTCAAGTCTCTTTATTTTCTAAAATCCAGAGTTTAGTGTTGATTTTTTAAAAAAATCAGCTAGAAACAAGTTTTTTTCCCATCCCTTACAACTGTGAAGAGCACCCAGGAATTAACTCAGCTCCAATCAGGGAGTAAATGGTCCTGCATGCAGCTTTCATGATTATAACTGGTACAAAGATGGGGCTGGTAATATGACAGATGCTAACAGGGATGGATAGAAGAAACTTTTGTTGTATCAAATGTGCTATTTAAAATTTTTTAATTTTTGAAATTTAAGTATGATTGACTTAAAATATTATATTAGTTTCAAGTATACAATAGAGTAATTTGATATTTTTGTATTGGGTTGACCAAAAAGTTCATTTGGAGTTTTCAGTTGATATTATAGGAAAACCCAAACAAACTTGTTGGCTAACCCAATACATTATGAAATGGTCGAATGCACTGTTTTATTTTCAAGATGTGAAATGGCAATTCTCACAAGAACTTCTAAACAGAAAGCCATTTTTGAATCTACTATATGATTCTGATGTTGAGTTTTTATGAAAAAATGTTTTAACTGGTATCAACTACAAAGCCAGATGTATTACAGTGAGGACCCTCTTTTGATAGGAGAGCTTCTTTTTGTTTCTTTCAGAGGGTGTTGTTGGATGGTCAGAGAGTTGTGCAAAGGCTGACAGATGTGTTTAGTAGGGTTGGAGGTTTATACCCCACTGCTCATACCTCACTTTAGTTAAGAGTAGTTGTGGTTCACTATTTACGGAAGCCAAGACAGGGCGCAAACTACTGATGAATGGATAAATAAGATATATGTAAATATAATGGAATACTACTCAGTCATGAAAAAGAATGAAATAATGCCATTCACAGCAACAGGGATGGGCCTAGAGATGATCACATTGAGTGAAGTAAGTCAGACAGAGGATGACAAATGTATGATACCACTTATATGTGGAATCTAAAAAAAATGATACAAATGAACTTATTTATGAAACAGAAATAGACTCACAGATATAGAAGACAAACTTATGGTTAGCAAAGGAGATATTGAAGGAGCAGGGGAAGGATAAATCAGGAGTTTGGCATTAACATGCACACACTACTATATATAAAAGAGACGAACAACAAGGACCTGCTACAGAGCACAGGAAACTATATTCAATGTGTTATAATAACCTATAGTGGAAAAGAATCTGGAAAAGTTTATATATATATGTATATATACACAACAGAATCACTTTGCCCTACTCTTGAAACTAATACAACATTGTGAATTAACTATACTTCAATAAAAAAAAAAGTTGTGGATATTGACAAGCTAGCTAGACTT